TACGTTGCGAGCGCATTTTACTTTTAGAGCGAATAACTTTATTGTAGCACGTAGTTTTTCGTACAAGCACGCCACCATCATATCTCTTTTTTTTCTTTTTTTTTTCGACAGCCTGCCCTGCTCTGAAGCATAGTAATCGGTGGTGCCGAAAATACACATATCGCTCTTGCCCGGACTTTTGACCGTCATCCTCGACGCACAATTAGGCAATGTTGTCGTATTTCGCGCATTCTCCACAACAACTGCACAATGAGTTGTTTTCGGGAAGTCGGGCGCGCACACAGAACCTGCACTTACAAATATATTGCATAACATTGCGAGCGTTCACAACTTTGACGTTTTGGAGTCACACGATTCACCGTTATATAGGAAATGAGCAGGTTGGTTGAGAAGGAAACTACTATAATTTGGAGGAGCTTTACTCCCAATTCTCGATCGTAATCTGTATTATGTAGGTTCATCCTTGTGCATTCGCATATAGGCCAGCCAGATTTTTAGGCGCATTGAGTCGAGCAATTAATTTATAATCGAATATGTTTATAAACACACGAGTGCTCCAACAGTCAGGCCACGCTGACGGACTCTCGAGAGCCTAGTGCCAGCGTCGGCAATCCGGCGAACGATATTGTACCGGGGTCAGCTGCGTGTGAAAAATCGCGATATGTTATCTTTCTTTACTTCACCTTGCCGCTGAAATTGAACTATTTGCAGCGGCTGAAACTGGATGGTGGTATCCTTTGACCTGAAATATTGTTTTACACTTCCACTTTTCAAGTAAGTAGAGGCATAATAGACCCTGCACTTCTATTTTCCGCATAAAACCAAAAAATTATTGAGTGACCCGGTCACGACTGCTTAAAGAACGACCAGATGTCAGAAACCTCACATTCAAATAGGATGCGAATAACGAAACTGAAAATGAAACCACTTATTAGTAAGATCTCCAGTCGTAAGTTTGGGACATGAATTTCGCCTGATCACCGATCCCGTCGGTAAAGTGATAAACGCTACGTGCTGAAGTGTTGGGCTTGCAAAAAATCATCATCATCATCATCATTATGGTCACCATCAGCCTGTCTACGCCCACTGCCCGACAAAGGCCTCTCCCATGTTTCACCAGTCAACTCGGTCCTGTGCTTGCCGCTGCCACTTTATACCCGCAAACTTCCTAATCTCATCTGCCCACCTAACTTTTTGTCTCCCCCTCATCTGATTGCCTTCTCTGGGAATCCAGTTGGTTACCCTTAATGACCAACGGTTATCCTGCCCATACGCACTACGTGCCCGGCCCATGTCCATTTCTTCTTCTTGAGTTCAACTATGCTTAACACCGGTTCGTTCCCTGACCCACTCTGCTGTCTTCTCCCACCTGGATACGCCAATCGTAAAAAATAGCTTACATGAAATGGAAAGGGCTGCTTCGACGACATTCAACGAGGGCCGGCTTCCGCTGTCACATGCGTGATACAGTAAGCGCTCGCATTCGTCGGTGTACTTGCCCTACTCTTCGTTCGCATATTCGTTTAAATAACCACGTGCAAGTTCTCCGTGTACAGCTGCAAATGAACGCGCCCGATTTCTTCCAAAGGCTTGCGTATTTCTTCTCGTTTTTTTTTCTCCTGAGCTCATTACCCGCCATCACTTAGCTTATTACGCTCGCTTCCCCTGAATCTCAACGTTCTTTTTCCACTCGTGTTGCCGAAGGATTATGGGGTGCACGAGCGTCCTTACTCCATTTCCTATGCATCTTAATCGGAATGACAATTTTTCAAGGCGTTCCTCGGGTATATCTCGTCGAGACGCAGATCTTGCTCGCACAGGACGGGACCCACTTTGCTGTGTTTTTGCACATTTTTTTTTTTTCTGTAGTAGCGAAAGAGTGAGGTGGTGGGGCGAAGAAAAGATGTAGATAGAACAAAACTTTGTGGAATGCTTACTTATGTGGCCGAACCTGCTGCACGTTCAGTGGCTGGCAAATTGACAAGCGCGACTTTTCAGCAGGCCCGTAGGCTTCCGTTTTTCTTGCCCTAGTCGTGCGAAATAATGGTTTTGCGTGACCACATTCTGACGTTTCCCACCTCGTTTTTACGCGCAGGCTTGTTCTTTTTTTTACTTTTTTGTATTTTTTAAGGACCATGGGTGGGGCACTCTCGGCTCGCGGTGGTCGTTCAAGACATTTACCACTTCTAATCCCCCCGCGCCGTTCGTATATACTATGCGCTTTTTACTACATTGCGGGGTTCGCCTTACGGCTGCTCTAACTCAGCCTGAAACCTTGGACTTTTGTACTCGATAGATAATATACTAAGGTAGGGCGGGGTGAAATGAGACACCGGGCAAAATGCGCCATATTGACTTTGCCGACTTCTGTAGCTAATAAAGAACTACTTTTCTTTGTTTCTCTTTTCCTGTGATGAGTACTGGTCCTTGTCTATATTTTGGTGTTGATAGCTCACAGCGTTCGCACAGGAAAAATTGTGTAACTGGTGACAGTGTGTTCGTGGCCCGTTAAAAAGGGTCGAAATTCTGCTCGGCCAAATTTTCGGATCTGTGCGTGAAGCTACTCCTACGTCAGTACACCAACGTGAATATTTATTTTGTTACCTTAGCCTACCAGCTACATAAAACTACAAGTTTAGTGTTTTTGTGTGTCCGGAGACAACGTAGAAATTGTTTTGAATTATGACATGTGAGAGGGGCGAAACGCGACTAACAGGCATCTAATTGCCTTAGAGAGTGTCTTAATAATTGAACAATTAACTTACACTCATTATATATTATATTTATTTGTTTAGGAGGGTTCGAACATACAAGAGATAATTATATAGACCTTTCTGGGAGGAAAACGACATGAAAAAACTCTGATTGCCGTTCACAACATGACTCCCTCCATTCGCGCTGCAGCAAGGTTTTTTCTTGTTCCCAAGGATGCTCTCGATAGAGGCATAAAAAATGGCTAAATCTAGCGGAATTCGTTCACAGTCACGTCTTAGTATTGAGTTTGAATGACGTTTCTTCAATGACCTAATTGAAGAACAGGAAACATGCGCTAGAAAGTTTGAATCTAGCACAGTTTTAAAATCATTTCCTCACAAAGCCCGTTGGATGAACTTAAAAGTCATGCAACGCCTGACCAGCTCTGCATCAAAACGGCAAAAAGGCGTGGATAAGATACGTCAAAACATATCTAGCTTCAAATTGTTGAATATTTGATGGGTTACAAGCCATAAACAAAAGACATTGGCACAAAGAAAGACTGGTAGAATTTGATCTCCTTGTAGTTATGAAGCAACACAACATCGAGTTCTGTCTAGATTCAATGCGTGGAGTCCAAGGACTGGGCTCCTTAAGACGGCGCAAAGGCTGCAGAGTGAATGTCATGTTTTTCTACTGCAAAAACTGAAGGAATGGATTTTTTTCACACTGTCTTGTTTTGCCTCACGCAGCGTCTCGTTTTGCCCCATACGTTAGGGCAAAATGATACATCTGGAGCATTTATTTATTTATTTTTAAAACATTGTTTTGAACGGTCGCATCAAGGCATTATTTATGTAGCACATACTTTGTACCCAAAAGAAAGTTTCTGCGTTGATGCTTTATTTTAAAGGGCGAAATAAAAATAAATATTGACAATTTTATATTTTTTGACGCATTTTATCCCACCCTATACCCTATAATATTTCCCGCTGATGTTCTGGCTCTGTAGGTGCCAGCGCTGAGCGAAGCTTCGTAATTTGCTATTACAGGTAGTCACCAAATGTCAATGTGTTTTTCGAACCTTTTTTCTGTTTGTTTGATTGTTTTTATGTCAGTTTTTTTTTTTACTCAAAAAAGTGATGGTGTCAGCTCATGTGATTCTGTGAAGTCCGTGTTGAATGGTTAGTCTCGTAAAGAGAGATAGAGAGAAGTAATAAGAGGAAGATGAGAACTTTAACCAAGCCCGGTTGGCCGCCCGGCACTCAGGAAGGACATTCAAAATGAGGAAAACAGATCACTTCGTTGTGTGCTAGGGAGAGAGATAAACTCTTCATTCGAAAAACAGATATTTTTGCCGGCGTTCATATACCGCTGGCATGCTGCTCTGTATAGGGATAGAGAAGGAGACTAAATGATTTCATAAGAGAGGGAAGAAATGGAGGATAAAAGGAATATAAACAAATATGACATGTGTGCGTCCGTGCGAAGTATTCATGCAGTCATACGAACGTGGCTATAAGTTCACGTGGATGGTCACTCGCTAATCGAGTAAATGATTGCGAGTACGCATCCTTAACCCCCCCCCCCTTTTTTTACATTAGCAAATATAGGCATGCAGGTGGGCAAAAACTTTGTCATAATCAGTGGGTTGACTGAGGCGTGGTTTCTCCACGCAGACCAGATGACCATCAAGCGATGTTTTTATGATGATCTCTCGAGCTCGTTTTATGGCCATGGTGGGCGTCTTATGCGTACTTAGCGAGTGAAACATTAACATCCTACGTTTCTAACCGCCTCCTTATGGTGAAAGATACTCAGAGATAGAGCATGGTTAAGTTTCGTAATCTACGGCACCTGTTTGTTCTGCATTGAGCGTGTGTTAAACGGTGTCATGTTCTCGAAAGAAATTATATCGCATTGGTCAGATTCACTGCCGCAGCACCTGCCCTGACGCAGAAGTCTCAGTTTTGCACAAGACAGGGAAAATGAAGCTAAAACTATAATCAATTGCTAATGCTGGTCGATAGAGGGCATGCCGAGAACAAAACAAGGTTATTAAATGATCCATAGAAAGAGTAGCCTGCACTACATTATAACGGCAACATCTCTTAAGTAACGCATAAAGAACACAAATGAGCCACGCTGAACGTTACGTAATCGACACAGTAAGAAAAGCCTCAGTTTGGGATTAATATGACGTGTCGAGTGTTCATTTGGCGTGGGCAGTGTCTCTGTAAAGGGCGTTTCGGTTTGTGTGCGTAGTACGTATGTGTAAACATAGCGTGTGTATGTTGTGTGCGCAGCTGTTCGGCATGATCTGCCTGGGCTGTGCTTCCCCGGCGCTGATCGGCTACGCCCGGTTCTTCCTGTTCGTGGCGGCGCTCTGCTACATCGTCACGGTCCTTCTGTGTATCATCTACGTGTTGGGCGTCAACACGGCCCTGTCGGCACTGCCGTGGCTCTTGGGCGTGAGTACACATACAACCGGTGCGCAGGGCGCCATGGCCTTTCCGGCAGCGTTCTCATCGGCGCAAAGCGGCACTGTTTAATTTCAGTTCTGGGGTGACCCAGCTATGCCATGCAAAAAACTGTGGGTTTGCTTGGCAGATACAGCGGCTCGTTTCAAGGGAGGCGAGGCGCAAGAAGCGCCCGTACATCAGCTATACTGCTTGATAAATCACAGAGGTAATCGAAGTAACACGTAGAGATCCGCTATAGCGTCTCTTGCATCTAAGATGAAGCTTGAAGCTTTTATATGCAGAAGCACTATCCCCCCCCACACACACACACTTGATATTATTTATTTATTTATTTATTTATTTATTTATTTATTTATTTATTTGAGTTCCCTTATTGTAGCCGACAACAAAAAGTTAAAACATTAGACTCAATATAATACATCAAGAGCACCGATAGCAAGGTTAACAGTAATGTTAAGCCTAAAGATAACTGGGCATGTACACTTTCATCACAACATAACACAACACTCTAAAAAGGTAATAATACAGAAGCCAAGAAGAGTACATTACAACAAAACTATACAAGGTGAACAAAATAACGAAAAAAATTAATGCACAGATAGACAAGGTTTGACTGCGCTGCATAAATTTCATACGATACCTACGGAAAAAAATCAGCAAGGGAATTATAGTGAGGGCAAGACAACCTCCTCCGGGATAATATTCCTATCAGGAACTGTTCTAGGAAAAAAAAATAATGCTTGAATATGTTAATACGATAGCTATATTCTCTAACCGTGAAGGAATGATCTACACAGTTTGACCTGTGGGTAGGATCAAGGATGTATAGTACTTTTCTTAGGCCTGTTGCTCACGTAAAAGCTTTGTGAAGCAATTTTTCGCGCGTGTACTTCTTAAAAAGAGCCATCCTAGTATGTCATGGAAACTTATTGGGAACTTATAGTTCGAAGAGACATATCGTGAGGCACGCTTCTGGGTGCTTCCTATTTCGGCATGCCTTTGTACCCGTGGGTCACAAGCGGAGCATCCGTATCTTAAAATAGTGCGCATGCTTCAAAATTTAAGATTTTCCTTCCACTTAGCAGGAGCGTTTATGAAGTTCCGCTTTACAAAGTTCAGGACCCGGCCAATCTTAGCTGCTCTGTAGTCAATATGGTCATTCCTGAAAAGTCAGCTTTATACGAAACAACTATTTGTAAAATGATACAGCCGACCGATTTTAATTCACCGTCAAGAGAATCTGTACTGTCAAAAATATGACGTTTGTATGACCTACATGTAGAGCAATTCTGCGTCACAATCCATATACTGAACCACAATAGCGTTCCGTTAAAGTCAAACATCACCACCGCTTCCCGAAATTTTTTCATTTTCGTGTGTATATATACACGTAAACGTACAAACACACGTACGAACATGCATAAAAGTTGGTTGAACTTGCCCAACACTCAGAAAATTTCTGAATACGCCTACGCCACTGGTGTGTGTGTGTGTGTGTGTGTGTGTGTGTGTGTGTGTGTGTGTGTGTGTGTGTGTGTGTGTGTGTGTGTGTGTGTGTGTGTGTGTGTGTGTGTGTGTGTGTGTGTGTGTGTGTGTGTGTGTGTGTGTGTGTGTGTGTGTGTGTGTGTGTGTGTGTGTGTGTGTGTGTGTGTGTGTGTGGAAATAGAGAGAGAAAGACGGGCGAAGAGAAGAGAGTCATTTCATTAGGAGGTATCAACTGCACCTTAGCACCAATCTACTCTTATTGACAGCATATAGCAGCGTATGTAGTTGAAACCACAGTGCCTCATCACAACACCGCTGCTCATTCGCTTCTGCGAGAAATAAGCGGAACGATTTCGCCATGACAGCGTGGTTTCATGAAAGAAGCAACCACGTCAGGCTATCCCAGTCAGGTAGCATACACAATCTCAGAGTTGCATTGAAATGTCTGGCATTGACAGTGCGTGCTTGTGAATTCGCGGCGCTTTCACGCATGCGAACATTATTGTGCAGCGCAACTATGTCTTGCGGCAAAGTGCTGCTAACATAATAGTGAAAATGTCATAGCCAATGGCGTTTTTTGACACACAACGCTGGACAAGGCGTGCTTAAATCGTTTCAAGGGAACCTTATGTCTATAATGCAAAAACAGGGACGTCAGTAAATGCTATGAAGCGTACAGTGCACGATTCGGCGTCGGTTCTTATCAGAAACTGATTATTATACCCAGCGAGTACACGTTTTTCACCATAATCGGTTAAGAATATTTATTAAGATGCATTTATTAGGGGATATCTTGTCAATATTGTGAGATAGCTGTTGAGTCAATTATCAATTTAAATATTACGTGTTCATGAACACGACCACAAAAAGAAGAACTAGCGCTAACTGGTAACTACCACCAGCATGGGCACAATGCCAGCTTGATACCTACGAGAGGAGGAGGAAAAGAAGGAAATAGAACATGGTCACTTCTGGACGTGAAGGCCGGGCGGTTGACCGACCAAACCAAACCAACGTTGAACGTAATAGTCAGTGAAAGGTACAAAAGGGAAATAAACGGAGGGGCATACCAAGTGAAGAAAGTCAGAGCGAGAAAAGTGTGAGGGGGCACGAAGGCGCAACAATAGAACTTGCACATATGTCATACCGTTACAATAGGGGCAGCACTTAACGTCTGGCACATGGTGCACAAGTAAGAAAATTTTGAATAAAAATGTTCGACTTTCTTCTGCTTTACAACGTCAACGTTAGGCTATAATACAAGCGAGAGTCAAGTATTCTCACCTTCAAAAATAGTGGACAGGTTTTGTCTGAGCAAACCAGATTGGACATTACACTGGCGCACGCTGGCTGAAACCATTACTTTGTTGATCCTCTCGTTGCCAATGACGTAACAATGACGACTGCACCTTCTTGACGCTTCTCGACTACTAAATGATAAACTTTATGGGGCTAAGTTTCACTGCGTGGCTTGTAGTGGAGCGTATACCTTTTTACAAACGCTTGTTTCCGTATCGGCGTAGCTGCCCTAGTCGAGATAAGGAGGGGGGGGGGGGGTCAAATTTGCCGCATATTTTGAGTAAGTAGGCAGGGGGTGCTGCAATGAACCTTCGCCTTCCCTGAAAAAAAAAAACTTAACGTGCGCACGTGTGCCAGCATATATTGGTTTAAAGTATTCCGTGAATAAAATATAATGCTAAGGGTGCACGATGGCATTTCATCACGTCGTTGAGCCATTTCTCACACTCGAGATTTGTCACAGTGTAAGGAAGATAGCTTATGAACCAAAATGAACTGATCTTGCACTTTGTACAAGCTTGATAACCGCCCCCACCCCCAATTCAAGGAACAAGATGATATGCGCAAAATACGCGCAACAAAAAATATGAATTGCTTTTTGTAGGAATCATTATCAGTATTGTCGATTATAAACAACGTTACTGCGTGAGAAAGAGTTGGCTACGTATTTAAGGCAATCGAGACCACTGCATCAGTGTCTGTCTCAGAGAACACGGCAAACAACAGCAACTGGAAAAACTAAATAAACTGAAAATGCGTGTGACTGGTGGCTTGTGAATCATTGCAAATATTCTTGTAGGGAGCATGGTTTCATCATATCATCGCGAGTAATTGCCATCTGAAGTTGCCACGCGGAATAAGATGCTGAGACTATTTTTGAAACTGTAAGCTCAGATTGTGAGTACGCCGAGGCTTCTGTAACAGCAAATAGCTACCATAGAAGTCAACTCAGGAATTGCTTGTGTTATCGCTGAAGTGCATAAATAGGTGATTTTATGGAATGAAAGTGTCGTTGAAAGAGCTCTGTTTAGGTTATTAACTGTTTCTCACCGGAGGCCCGCGAAGGAAACAGTTATACTCTTCGAAGTGGCATATCAACAAACCGAAGTTGTTAACCCCTTAAACGCTGAGGAACGTAACGAGTAGAGAACAACCAATAGAGACGGACTGTGTTGTGTGTTCATGACGGGGCAAAAATATCGAGTAGCAAAAAATATATTTTTTGTTCAGTGGCGCCGCTGATGCAGAAATGCTCCTCTCACTTCGTGGGTCAAGAATTCCGTCGTGTTATTCTTCGTGTACCAAGTATATAGGCCAACATCTCGATGCCCTCTATTTTCTGTCTGCCTACAGCTTTGCGTCCTTAGTAGCACTATGCTGTATACAACGTACACGCAGTCGCCAAGCTTCGCCGCATCTCCTCTGCGATGCAGGGAGAAAGCGGATGTGCGACGCAGTCAGCTAATAAGGAAATGGATGGTTTGTCACGATAGCTCATTTTCAACATGCAAGGTAATATTAAAGTGCGCCGTGCAATCGGCTCTCTGTTACGGCGTGTCTAGCGGAGCTTCGCCGCTGACGTCGCCGAGGCTGTTCGCTTTGAGACGGTGTGGTTCCACATCATGAGATGTCCTTCATGGTCTACTTCACACAAGGCTTCTCTGCCAACCGCCGCGAGAGTCGCCCATTGTTACCGGCTCTCACCAGCAGCGTTGTTTGTGCAACAATACGTGAACCATGTGATGTTTCTTTTTCGCCACAGCAGCACATGATTCTGAACAAGAGGTTAAAGCCATGCGCTTATCGCATACGCATGCATGCAACTTCGCACACGAAGTTGCACTTGTACGATTCTAAACTTGCAGTTTTGCCTCCGCATTACGCGAAACAGTGAAAAAATAGCACTCATGCAACATAATGATGCGCCGCAAGTTTTTTTACCGTTCATGCAATATTGAGTAAAGTATTTACATGCGTGAACAAGATTGTTTTTTTTCTTAAGAATAATTCTGTTATTTACTCTTTATATTTCTTTAAACGCTTGTTTTGTGTCTGCTTGTTGTTGCTTTCATTGCGTGTACCTTTCATTATTTTCAGTGCGTCCACTTAAGAGTAGAAATAATCGTTTGAAACAGCAAGAAATACAACCATGGCCTGAGTCGTGTTTGTTTAAGTAGCGCTACCCAGCAGCAGAAGAGCCTGGA